AGGACGGAAGGACGGACGGAAACGTGCGTACGCGCGGGAACCCTGTGTCGGTCCATTGAAAATCGACTCGATGGTATACCATTTTTTCTTAGCTATGGTGCTCCGCTAGCGCGGGCCTTCGGCCCGCGCTGGAGCTCCGCTATCAAACGTCCAGAAGAAAATGAAAAGCAGTGATTGAATACTAGCTTTGTTTCATACTGAATATTGTGAGTAAAGTGAAAATTTGATTGATATGTAAATGAGCTCAAACATGCGGTTTGCCTCAATCTAACCAGCATCTTCTCTGATATCATATCCCGCATTGGAAATGGAATTGTGTCATATTCGTAACAAAAATTGACATATGACAAAAACACCACCGATGAATAAAAAGTTATGCCCTAGAATAGATCAGATCAGATATGATAAGTGAAATATTACCAACATTATGCAATAGTTTGATACCTGACCCGGGCTACTGTCAATAATTTCTACATTGTTTGTTCTTTCTTGTCTTCTCGATGTATCACACGTTATTGCACTTCAAATATTACTTTATTTGATGAAGATATTGAAGGGGAAACTTCATAATCTCTACAGAAGATTTCTGAATGTCAATGTTAACAGGCCTGTCTGAGTATAATTAACTCAGTACCATATAGATTATATGCATTGTTGTGGTTTCTAACAAGGTTTAATGAGTTATAAAACTAGGACTTTCCATTGCCATAAGACGCACAAGGCCGACTACTGACATGCGCGATAAGCAATAAAGATGTTATGACCGGAAATAAACCTACCGGAAGTTAGATTATAACATCCCCTTTAATTACTAACAAAAACAGCATATCGAGTAACAATGAATATTCAATGGAATGTCTTANGATCCAAACTAAAGCATCTTCGAAGCCTTCTGACTCTGCACGGAAAGAGCTTGTCCTTCCCTGCTTACGTGTGCTCCAGCTGTAGAAATGCCTATTATTCTTCCAAACCACTCCTGCCCATGCTGTGGTGTTATCCCTCAATGAGCCATCTGTGGCAATGATGATATTTGCCTTGATAGATGTGATATATTCCTCTATAACTGCCTGATTCATGATGGGGTTTGACTCACGCCAATTTCTATCTCCAATAAAGTCCACCTTCAATTTTCTTTTATTGTACGGTACCCAGATGTCAGGCATGATGTTATAGCTCAGAGTAACCTTTTCGATTATATTCTCGGCAAATCTGCTCCACGGTTGCACGATTTTTAACCTTACACTGACTTGAGGATGCTCTCTCAACACGGCGTTTAATGGATGGCTTACACATGTTAACGCTCGAACAAGTTCTTTTCCTGCCCTCATTTTGTAGTAATATTCCTCAAACATTATCGCAATTTAATTCAATACTTTAGAAATATTTTTAGCTCTAAGGTTAGGGTTAGTTTTAGGGCAGGATTCGGTGTTTATTGTTGTTTTTATTAACTGCTCGTTTTGACAGAATTTCATTCTGAGTTTGACGAAATAGCCTCTACCGAACTGCACGTGTGAAGTTGGCATTTGGACTGAATAGTAGGACCCAGTCTTTACCGGCCAAATGCGCGCGCAGCGTTTTATTTTTTTTATTTGCAGCAACTCGTGTTATTTGAAGCAACTGCTTTTTTATTTGCAACAACTGCTTTTTTATTTGCAGCAATTCGTTTTATTTGCATCAACTTGTTTTTATTTGCAGCAACTCGTTTTTTATTTGCAGCAACTCGTTTTATTTGCAGCAACTAGTTTTTATTTGCAGCAACTTGTTTTTATTTGCAGCAACTYGTTTTTTATTTGCAGCAACTCGTTTTATTTGCAGTATGTCCCCTATGGGCCACCGCACTGAATCACTTGTGCCATATAGTCGATGGACAAAAGGTTGTCGTCGTTCACGAAACGCGACTAGCCAGAACTGGTTTCTGCAGGGTAAATATCAGTAAACTGGCAAATTAGACATTTGAACGCCTTTGTGATTGGAAGAACTGACAGTGATGTGTGACAAAAATGTCCAAATCACGGGAATTTAATTGTGCATGTGATGTTAATTTTTGCATCTCACATTGTTTTCCATCATGGAGGGGAATACAACGTTCAATGTTTGTTTCGAGTTCTTAGAACAGAGAATAAAAGTCGAAACAAATTGAGAGTATACAGAAAGGTGTTGTTATGCCTAATTTGCCAGTTCATTGAATTCATTGCATAGCTTTTCCTTTAATTACATGACTTTTAAATCTGCAGTCATCTTGAAACGTTACTCCTAGTATTGCCAGGACTTTGTATTTTGGGAGGGGATACAGGAATGGGTAATACATGTGGAGGCCTCTGAATCTGTCATTCTGGTTGTTTTCCACTGCCACCCATGTAATAATAATGACGCTGACACACTTTCTAGGCGTTTTTAATAACAACATGAACTAAAGACCATGAGGCCAAGGTCAAAGCCAGTCAAGCAGACGTGTAGTGTTGACCAAGCTGGACAAAACCAAGACGGCTACGCCTGGGTGAAAGCAAAAGTTTTTGGTTTTGTGAAGGAGATGCGTAACTGCACCGTGCAATTGTACTGAAACGACCTGTGCAAATTGATCAAACAGTCGGGTTTCTATCTTTGCAATGGTAATTCTTCACCAACTACCATAGCCGTAATCAGCACTGTAGTTACTCCCGCCAGTTCAGGCGCAAATAGGAGCATGATTGCTACCAAGTCCCCAAGCTTCAATAGCACTATGCCTAAGTCCATTGTAACAACAGTTCCTTCTTTTACTGTAAATCTGTATCTCAAAGTCGATCTTTTCTTGCTTTTCTTCATAATAGAAAAAATGTTAAAAGAATAAAAACTTGTCATTAAAAAAACAAGGATAACTGCTAAAAAATGATGTGTACTATTATTCTTATCGCAATTTTTGCACGTCGATTGCATGTCTGATTGGAGTATGCCAATCAGTGGTCCGATTACCAAAATACTCTAGGCGAGCGAGTTGTTCACAGCTCAATTAGCTTTAAGTAAATGTATGTATTATGCATTAAGAAATTAGCGCAAATAGTGCGATGGAACGTAGTTGTCGGGGGTAGTTACGGTTTCTGATGCGAGGAATGCGATTCCTTGCATCAGAAACTCGGTGGTGTAATGGTATAAGAAGGCGCATATAGACTAGACGGTTC